CAGAAAAAGGGGGGTAAAGAGGAGGGTGAGGACGGTAGGATAAAAGGAATGAACGCGGGTGTAGGGGAATATTGGTTAGAACGATCATATATTGGTGCGCGTAGGGAGTTTCTGAGGTATAAACATCCGGCACATGCGGCATTCCGTGATTGTCGTATATACGTACCTTCCATAGGAAGAACGCAATGATCCCGATACCAACCACCGCGGGAATGATCGCGGGGGTGTAGGGGATGAGATCCTTGGGGTTGAATGGTTTCGACGGAGGGGGTGGGGTAGGAAGAGGTTGGTCATTAGCTCCTTTACTTGGACCACCGGAAGGAGGGGAACCACCTGCTCCACCAACTGCAGCACCTGCACCACGGCCAGTACCACCACCACTAACACCACCATTAACACCACTACTACCACCCGTACCACCACCAACTGCACCACCTGCTCCACCATCCTTTTGACCATCCTCACCTCCCTTTCCTTCCCCACCAGAAACACCATGTGCACCACCTCCTGAGGACTGGTCGGCGCCTCCGTCGTCGCCGCTACTACCGGATTGATCTGGGTTTGGGTTCGGTTTTGGTTTGGGTGGATTGAGAGGAGGGGGGTCATCGTTGCCGCCGTCAACGACGTCATGGCCTGAACATTTGGTGAATGGGGAGACAGGGAAAGGGTAGGAAGAAGTATGATGAAACTGAAGTTTTGCAGGTGGTTGTGGGATGATCGCTGATGGTCGGCACCATGGATGCATGGTGCCACGGTGCGAACGGTGGTTGGCAGGTGCCACCCCGGGGAAAAGACTCTCTCTGTCTCCCACACACAACACACACAACACACACAACACACACAACACAACACACAGACAGTGTGTGTCGACGTCTGTCGACGTCTCTACCTGCCGCGGCGGCTTACTCGCTCGCCTGGCTCTCTCCGCCCCTGGGTTTCATTCGACGTTGGTTGCTGTCGCCCTCTGTCTCTCCGGAAATTGTTGTTTGTTTTTTTTTTTTTTATTTCTCTTTTGGACTAAATGGAAAGGAGGATAGTGTTGTCCTTTTTTTTTTTTTGTTGTTTTTTTTCTGCTGTTCTTCCTTTGCCCTTAGATAACCCAGCGAGGGTACTAGCATAAGGCATCCAGCACGTTGTGAACACCTCCGGAGGAGCCGTGCCGGCTGCTCCTCTGTGGACGCTCACAGGTACCTGTGGAAGATGTCGCTCTCTCCTGCTGCCTGATGGTCTTAAGTATTTCACATGAGGCTTCACCGGGATAGGAATAGGGAACGCTCGTGACACTAACGAGGGATCCTTCATGTGTCTGTGCACCAGAGGCTGAAGAACTGGATTTCTCGTCCGTACACTCTTCCTCACCTGTGTCATCCTTCGATTTTCCTGCTGTCTTCTCTGCTGCTGTGTCCGTTGTTGTTGCCACTGTTCCCTGTTCTGGTGATGCTGCCCGTGATGGTGGTGGAGGTGGGGGTTGTTGTCCAGGTCCAGGTCCCGGACCCGGTCCTGGTGGTGTGGTTTCTGTCTGTGTTCCTTGTCCCGTGCCTGCCGATGTTGTTGGTGCGGCATCCGCTGGTGGTGTGTCAGACCTGCCTCCTTGTGCTACGGATGGTGCCTGTGCATCCGGTCCAGCTGGTGGGTCCTCGGAGCGTCCTCTTCCATCTGTTCCACTCCCTGCCTCTGGTGGTTTGTTCTTATCTGTGTCCTCAGGAACACCCGCCTTTGGTACCTCTGGTACCTGAGCTGGTGGAGCCTCTGGTTTCTTCGGTGGTGAAGCTTCTGGAACTTTAGCCGGTGGAGCTTCTTTCTTCTTCGCTGCAAATGAAGCAAGGAACAAACACGACAACATGATACAAAAAGGACACAAGTGGTAGACAGAAAGAAGGGGCCAGGACGGTGCGGTCAGGTAGCGGCAGCACGCGTACGGTGAGGTGACCTGCGTGCTCGGTGAACTGGGATAGATGTTCGCAGTACACTTTTAATTGTCGCCGGCATGTCGTCCGCCGTCCTGTGCCTCGTCGCCGCTGCCGAGGCCACTCATCTCCGTCCGCGCCGCTACCACTGCCGTCGTCGCCGCGTGTGCGTTGTTGTTGTGGCATCGTGTCGTTTGTGGAGGCATCCATATTCGGCTGTAACGGTGGCGGTCGTGTCCGTGCCGCCCGTGTTAGTATGCGGCCGTTTGCGTATTGTGCGTGTTCGTATTGCCCGTATGAGTAGCACGCTGCTCCTGTAATGTTCTTACCATTCGCGTCCGCCTGTTCTGCATCCTCATGGTTGGCATCATCATCATCGTCGACGTCCTCATCTTTCGCAGAGTCAACATCACTATTCGTAGAGTCCTCGTAACCCTGTTCCCGCTGGCGCGCCTTCTGCACCTGTGTGCTTACTTTTTTGGTAATTCTCTTAAACACTTCTTTTATCTGTTCCTCCACTAATCCCTGCAGATCCTCCTTCTGAAATATACTGGAAATTTTTGCCTGTTCCCCTCTCTTTTGCATACTGTTCTTGTACATTTCCCACTTCATTGTACACTGTGGGTTCTTCTTTATTTCGTTTATACGAGCGCTTATCGTTGTACTTTGCTTTAACCATTTTCTTACCGCTTCCTGTAAGTTCCCTTTCCCTATTTTAAAATCCTTATATATATCTTGCGTACATTGGCCGGTGTAAAGCGGATTAGAGGTGTCTCGCGTGCCCACTGCAAGCTCCTTCATTATCTTCCAAGCTTGATCTATTGCTGGCCACTCATATGGACACGTTATTTCAGCCAATATATACGCAAAAACATTGGCCACCATACACCTCATAATGGCCTTCATTTCCTTATCATTTTGCGACTCGTCCGTATCCGGCGGCTGATTAGGTGTCCACCCAGCTACAAAATGTAATGCTCCAACCATCATGCTGCATTTCATCTTGGCCGCAACTGTGTGTCCGGTGTACAAGTTTCCCTGATGCGTGTCTCCTCTACGGGGCCAACCTGAATCCCCACAGCTGACTGCATACGCATCTAAGCTGTCCTCTATCCTTTCCATGTGGTCCACAAAAGCGTGTAATACACGTTGCATATCTTCCCATAGTGCATTCTACGAAATATGTACATAGAGAAAATGATTAATATGTAACAATATGTAAACTCTATAGGACTATACCTTGCTTTCCGTATGTGTTACCGCATATATATACCAACACTATTTTCCGCCGCGCTGCTGCGCTGTGTCGTGCAATCCCTTGTTCTGAGGTAATACTTACATCAAGCTGTTCCTGTTTCCATAGTCCCCTTGCGCGTGCCCAGGGGAGCAGTACATCTACTAAGTGCCCGGCCATGGTACCTTACGTCTCATAATACAGGATACTAATGCTCTCTGAGAATATGATGCACATTATTAATATTCCGCCGTGATGCCATGCACACCTGTGCCTAATGTATATTGTTATTACTATATGAGCGGGGGGAAAATGCGATCACACATATAATTTATATAAGGCAAATGCACAATACAGAATTGCACAGTACACAAACTGTGTGCAATATTCGGATATTGTTTAGGAAATAATAATATGCACAGAAACAAAAATTAGTAAAAAATTAAAGAGAAAAAAAAAGGAAAAAAAAAGAACACAACCAATTGAACGGAAAACAACCGATGCAACATGGAAGCTATATATCCTGCCCTCCTGCGCGCCTGTATAAAGTCGCTGTGTGAACAATATATTACGAAAACAAATATATATACATGTTCCCCGAGTACTGCACCAAGAGCTGCCCGGAGGAGTTGTGCCCGAAACATAGGAAAAGAAGCGAAAGAACAGGAGCAAAACAACAGACCCCTACCAATTCATAACAACATCCTCTACACAATTGAGAGCAGACTCTCTTTCTTCCACACATGAACAATATGCCTCCCATAAAAAAGAAAAAACAAGGAAAAAAAGCGGAGAACACAAAAAATAAAAGAAAGAAAGACAAGAAAAAATAGAAACAACGCTACACCACGTCATGAATACCACCCCCCGCCACCTTTTCTACAGCGGTGTCCACTAAACGCCGGTCACAGACACTGTGTCTCTCTGTGCGTACACCTAAAAACCGCAGTATAACAACATCAATGCTTCTCGCGTCAACGCCTTCTCCGTCAACGCCTTCTCCGTCAACGCCTCTCCCGTCAACGCTTCTCTCCGTCAACGCGTCTGTCCATCAACGCCTCCTCCGTCACCCTGTCTCCGTCAACGTTTCTCCGTCAACGCTTCTCCGTCAACGCCTTCTCCCGTGAACGCCTGTCGGTCACCCCGTCTGCGTCACCCCAGTCGCCGTCACCGCGTCTCGCGTCACGCTTCTCCGTGAACGCTTGTCCGTCACCCCGTCTCCGTCAACGCTT